TCTTCCTTGTAGGCCAGAAACGAGACTTCCTTAGATTTCCACGACGCATGCGCGAGAATTGCGATCTGAAGTAGTGTAAGCTGGTGTAAGCAGATCGCAATTCTCGCGCATGCGTCGTGGAAATCTAAGGAAGTCTCGTTTCTGGCCTACAAGGAAGAAAAGAAATAGTCGAATAAACTCGTTATTTTTGTTAGTTTTTTCGCACAAAAAGTATTCGCGTCGCTTGATAAACATATAGTTGAGCCACGGTAGTCACTTGGGATATTTAAACATTTTCTTCATTGACTTTCTGGGCCGTCAAGAGGCAGTCCTTTAGGAGCCAATGTGGTAGTTTTACAGCTCTCAAATTTAATCAAAAATATCTTCATTTGTGTTCCGAAGACGAACGAAGGTCTTACGGGGTTGGTACAGCATGGGGGTGAGTAATTAATGACTTAATTTTCATTTTTGGGTGAACTAACCCTTTAAAATGTGTGTTCTCAATGTGAATCTTTGGAAAACAGTCTCGAGCAGTCGAACCACGAACGCCGAGCTGAGCCACATCTCACCAGTGCACTTGGCTCGGCGTTCGTGGTTCGACTGCTCGAGACTATTTTCTAAGATGGCTTTTGCCTGTATTTGCGAAGTGGACTGTCTTTATAAAATGTCTTCTTATTAAACGGTCTGTACACTTACAACGTTCTCAACTTCGGTTTGCATGTAGGGACCCTCATTATGCAACAGTGTGGGGCTATTTTTAGCCTTGTTAGTGGTATTAACTAGCGATTTTTATTTTCATTACTCTATGCCCCATATACTAGCGTTATAAGCTAAACAGTTTTTAGAGATAAAACTCTTTACATTCGATAATCATGAAAATAAATCTCAGAGAACGGTTGACTAGGTACCGATGTTTTATTAGACCAAAGGTTCATTTTGCGCCGAGTTGTCCTTTAATCCCTCCTTCAAAATTAGACCTTTTTTTTTTTGTCCAGATTTTGTATCTTTTTTTACATTTAGATCATACTTTTCTATTTTTTAATCAATTTCTTTGTAGTTTTTTCCTTTGAATTAATAGATTTAATCAATTAATAATAAATGTATAATTAAATTGAATAATTTAAGCACATTCTTCACATTCTTTCAACTATGTTTATTCATGAAATTGTGAGTTGTTTTGAATTTAAAAAAATGGGTGTCTTTGCCGACCTTTTGTGGAAAAAATAATATTACATGAAATAGCTCTGTTTGTGGCAAATGAGCAGTTTCCCCAGGGTCCTACAGTCAGTTTTTCTTCAGTATCCATTCAGATACAGACATTTATAAAATCATTTTTTTGTGAAGTTTGCATTTTTAGTTTAAATCTTTAGGTTTTTCTATGTGTACTGAAGTATTTTACGGATCCCATTCATTAAAAAAAAAAAAAAAAAAGATTTGTTACTTTTTTAAATTTCAACCACAAAACTCCACGAGTCCATACAATTCTGTATTCGAGTGTGAAAAAAGTCATGGGGTCTTGGACCCCTCTGATGAACACTCAATTTTAAAATAAAAATGTCCAGGTCACAATGACCCGAGAGAAGGATGACATGTAATTAGTCTTCTTGAAAAAGTACAGTAAGGGATTGCTCTTGATTTTCTGTTAGTGTATTACAGTTGTGATGTATTTGTGTTGCATACAGTCTAGACTATAGCCCATTCAATATAAAACAATAAAACAAAATTGTATGTGTAATGTTAAAATGTGTGTTCTCAATGTGACCTGCTCCCTTCAAATACTTTGGCCAGTTCAAGAACAATTTATGCAATGCTGTATTACTTATTTGAATTACACCAACACTGATTGGCACTGCATTTATCCATTTTTTAGACACGTTAAGTATGCACATTGCTTACAAAAGTGAACTTTGTCTTGCAGCAAAACAGTTAAAGAAGCGTTGGGAGTCTCTGAGAACACAATACACACGCTACAAGAAGAGTTCAGGCGCGCAGAGGACGGGCAGGCAACACTGGATCCTGACCCGGCTGCAGTTTTTGGAGCCCCACAGCAAAAGAAAGGAAACCACGTCCAAGCAAGCTATCAGGGTAATGTAATATATATATATATATATATATATTCTTTTGATTTAAAGGGAAATGATTGCATTAGCATATCTAATTTACTTACTGTAATTAGCTTCAACGCATCAACTAAATGTCAACAATGTAAATACAAATTGGCAAAAAAGGGCCACTGATTAGTGGTGATGGGTAATACCACTTTATTTACATGCAGCTTTTCATGTTAACGTGGTTTAGTTCTTACATTGTCATCCAGAATGTGCATCTGAATAAAGCTATAATAATCACATTGACTCAGTGACGTAGCGGACGGGCGCGCTTTTTGGAGGAATTAGTTCGAATAATTTACTCATTTCAAAACCAACTTGTTCTACACTAAATACTTCTATTTTTTTTATGGGCCACAAGAAAAAAATATTAAGAAAATAAATTAAAACAGTTATCAGCACGTTGAAGTAGATTCAGGTCAGATTTCAATGTCTCGGAGAGAATATGTAGCCTACCGTTAAATGAAAATTAAGTCATTAATTACTCAGCCCCATGCTGTACCAACCCCGTAAGACCTTCGTTCATCTTCGGAACACAAATGAAGATATTTTTGATTAAATTTGAGAGCTGTATAACTACCACATTGGCTCCTAAGGGACTGCCTCTTGACGGCCCAGAAAGTCAATGAAGAAAATGTTTAAATATCCCATGTGACTACCATGACTCAACTATAAGTTTATCAAGCGACGAGAATACTTTTTGTGCGAAAAAACAAACAAAAATAACGACTTTGTTCGACTATTCCTTTTCTTCCTTGTTGGCCTGAAACGAGAGTTCAAGAGATTTCCACGACGCATGCGTGAGAATTGCGATCTCCTTCAACTACTTCAGTTCAGTTCTTTGTGCTTTCTGTTTGATGTTTCTGTGAATGTTTTAGCACCGCTTCCAGATCTGTCATGTCCGTAACATTTGTTTATTCCTCAAATGCGAACATGGAAAAAAAAAAAGTAAAATGAATATTTTATGTTCTGGGGAGAACCAACCATTCTTCATTTGGTAGTATTACTTTTGGTTCGTGCAGTGTAATTCACAGAATTAGGCTACTAAAACAATATTTTTGCCACCCAAAAGTTAAAGATGTTTTGTGTCACGTCCATAACGCATGTGTATTTCCCTCATATTAAATATAAAATGCATGTGTAGACTTATATTTTTCTAATGTCTGTCTCCTTTATTAAGGGAGTATGGATATATAAACAGAACTTTCTATATAAACAGAGTATTTATATTTCAAGTTTTGACTGCAAATGTCACGTCCATAATGCTGAAATTGGACAATTTTAATTTATCTTAAACTATTTTTCAACAACTACGTTTGTTGTTATGTTAACTTCAAATAATACTAATATTAATTTAAAGATGTGGTAGCATTGGGTCTGGACGGGAAGGATAACTCTGGGATTTGGAAGGGGGTGTGTTGCGCATTTGAGTATCACGACTTCGGTTTTATATCGCGTATCGTTATAGCCCTATTAAAATAGCTTTAAAATATGAAAACTGGCAATATTAAAGTGGTTTAAAACATCTCCCCTTAAAACGCTATTGGTCTCAGCTATTTAAATAAAGATAAAGGAATATAACTTTGCCTGAATTTTTTTTTCCCACAATGCGTTAAAAGAAATGACCCGTTATTGTTACTGTACATTCACACCGCCGCCGACTTGAGCATCAAAGAAGCTCTGGCCACTCTGTCAAGGACGCTTGTTAAATAGTACAGGGAAGCTTGTTGACACTTTGGATGCTTTGAATGCTCTGACATTGTAGGGAGAATAGAAGTGTCGCAATATAAAATGTACTAAACAGAAAAAAACAAGCAATACATTGAAGAAACCTTTTATAATGACAGTAACTGTTTTGGTTACCTTTGGTGGGGAAAAATAGTTAGCTATTATTATTATTGTTTGCAGTCAAATCGGTGTCACCGTGAGCAAGTTAATTGCATTCCCGCTTTAAAACGAGGGTTTGTAAATATTTCAAATAAAAGTTGCGCTCATGCGGTCCCTATAAGCAAACATCATGTCATAAATGATACGAAACCAGTAGGAATCACAGCAACGCGATTATTAGCTCTTCTTCCTTTTTCTCGGAGCTAATGTTTTGGTAGGAACGAAAGTTTACATTGTGTATTTCTCCGGAATCAGCCAGCGTGAAGGACGTCTATATTCCGATTGGTTGCTGGCGTTTTGCCGCTGAACCACGTCATAGCTCATTACCATAAAGTTGAGCTTCTTTCAACTTTCTGATTGACGCCCAAAACGCAACGCCTATGAATTTGACACTCCTTGCAGCTGAGAAAAGCCAGCTTCCATTGAAAATGAATGACTTCCGGCCTGTGGCGGTGTGAACGTACGGTTATGATTGCTTGTTTATTTCTATAGTGCAACACCCCTCTCTAATTGTGGATATTTTGTGTTTTTTGTGTGTTTTTAGGAAACTTTATGTGCTAGTGATTCCAGTTCACCTTCAGATCCTAGCCCACACACTGGCATGCGGACTAGCACACCTGAAGAGCCGTTCTTGGAGTCTGAGCAAAGGCCCCGCAGTCCTCTGGCAGAATGCAGCATCTTTGGAGCAGAATCCACATCGATTATAGACGACCCTTTGCCAAGCACATTCAGTAGGATAAGCACTCAGAGGCCTCGCAAGAAGCGTATTAAGCGGTCCATAGATGACTCTGCCAGTGACGAGTCATCCAAATTACTTTGCACTATAGGCAACATTTTGAAAGGGATAGTGCATCAGGAGGACCACAATGATGCCATTGCAGCATATTGTAAAAACGTTGAGCACAGAATGCGCAGTCTACCACCACATTTACTGCCATATTTTCAACATGAGGTGGACAACTGTCTCTTTAAGTATTCTGTGGGACCAGAACAGTCTTCCAGCAATCATAAACATCTGTAATGTTTGTGGCAACGAAGATGACTTGACTTGCACACTCACTTGTTAATCAAGATTGAATTGATCGAGATTATGTAATGCAACAGTTTTTACAAGTTTAGAGCTTAGACTTAGAGCTGACACTGTAGGGAGACCAAGTTTGCCAAGAAGCGCTGGGTAATCATCAAACGTTCCCCAAGAGGAGATACAATCTCAATGGTTTGTATTTTGCCTCTGTATGAGTGGAGTGAGAAGTTCTTTCAACATGTGGAACTGAACAGGAAAAAGCTGAGCGAAAATTTTTAAGTCTGAGGTTTCGGTTGTCTCCAGCTCTCGGCAAAGGTCCGGAAAAGCCCCTTGTGCCTGTTGATGCAGTATCCATGATTTTACCCGTTTAGTGCGGTTTCAAAAAGGCCAAGGGCTGACAATGCAAGTGTCATTTGTAACTTAACTGACATAATTGAAAAAGCCACATGAATCCGTCTGTAATGAGCGCGGCTGATGTAAACAAAGGTAAGCACTGATTGCACAGAACTGCCGTACAAAGCCAAAACGCAGTAACCACATATTTGGTCAAAACTGAGTTTAGATTGGAAATGGACTTTGTAACAAAATCTCCTGGTTCAACTGTATCCCGTTTCAGAGAAATCACTGTCAAATTTGCAGTACCAAGATGGTACCAAGGCAAACCACAGTAAGTGAAGCCACTGCGTTCTGCCTTTGTTTACCCGGCTTTGACGTGGTATATATTGCGGTCTGCCATTGTAGCCACATTCGAATCTACCAATCTGACCGCCTCACGCACAGCATCCTTTTCACAGAATCTGATAAGGAGCGAGGTGACACAGACCACCAAGCCAAAAAGATATATCATCATTAACCCAGGGAAACATGGCACAATCCCAAGGAGAACATATACTGTCTCATTAAAACGTAACTTTAAAACGCAAGTATCCAGATAGCGGTAAGGAACATGGTAAAATATGAACCTTGCAAATAACACCTGAATCAAGAAATTGCCTTTACTAGCTAGCGAGCTTACCCGCTCCCCTTGAAGGCTGTAACGTTAGTATTGTTGTGGCAAAAATACTGTCAAACGTCATCACTGCGTAAGAGACACTCAGAGTCAAATTAATAAAGAAAGATAAGTTTTTATTGCAAGAATAGGCCCAGTCGCCAACACAGCAATTACACTGTAGCATGAGTGAGACACCTTCAGGGAGACATGAGACAGTCTTTTCAAAGTTTCTCTTCACCCGCTGTACCTTTCACCCACCTAGATAAGGCCCTTACTGCTGTTTTAGTCTCTACTTAAGGACAAACTGGTACTGAAATAAACTGGCTGTCCCTAAGGTCAGAAGTCCTGTTCTATATGTTCCTGAAACGTCACCCACAACCACGTAGACATTTATATTTTACTCATGGAATAGGTTCAATGGAAACACATGTAGGGATGGGTATCGTTAAGGTTTTATCGGTATTACTACTCTTACCGATACCGCTTATCGATCCGGTACTTTAACGGTATTCTTATCGGTTCTTTTTGGTGTTTTTTATTTATTTTTATTTTTTTTTAAGAATTAAGAACATAATTAAACTTTATATTTTGAAATGTAAAATATAAAAAGCAAAACGAAGAAAAATATATTTTTGTTATGCAGCAATGTGCAGGCTTTTTTTGTTTATACAAAAAGGACACATAAGAAAAAAAAACAAGTACAAACACAAGAATACAATTAATCAAAGGTACAAATTATATACAAAGTGCTTTAATTTCAGGAAGGTCTACTAGCATATCTTGTCAGGTAATTGTTTCTGTCTGAAAAGAAACCTATTAATCAAATATAAAATAGCACTGTAGTTTATCATAGATAGAATAATGCTTATTAAATCTAAAGTTACTCATTCAAAGGCTGTGAGTGATTTTCTCTGCCTTTTGTTGTTTGATTTGCATTAATGGCTGAATCGTCAGCAGGTTTAGGCTATTAGACTGCTGCCCCTTTAAGACCGAGTGCAGATAATGGGGACTGATGCACCATCATTTTCTCCCTATTATTTACGTCCGTTTAAGACATACTTGTGTTTAAGTGAATAAACTGTGTTTAAGTGAATCTCAGAGCTGGTCATTTTGACATTTGTATGTATATTTGATAGTTAAGGACGCACAAAGCCCAAGTATATAGGTTACTTTTCTTGTCTCGTTGCAGTCCGTTTCGGAGCGTGCACCGCCTTGTGAACAGCGTCTCTTGCGCAGGTTTTTGTGTTTTTAATAGCTATTTTCTTGATCTTGCAACAGTAGAAGACAGCACTTTGAAACAATCGCCGATCGTGCTGATTCTGACGGTTACGTTTGGGTTTTAGGAAGAACTGACAGCGCTCCGCAGTGCTGTGAAGTAAAGGAAGTTAAGCTGGACAGATCGTTTCGTTTTTTAACGGTTTTATCTCAAATATCTTCTTTTTATAATCTTTGGAAGCCGAAATACAAAATATATTAGAATAATACCCCAGATCTAAAGTGTAACCACGTTGGATGTTTAGTTCTGTCCTCATTGTCACTCATTAAGCAAGGGCTGTCGTGTTGCGCGTGCTGTGGCTTTGCGTGAGAGATCGCTCTCTCTCTCTCTCTTCTCTCTTCTCTCTCTCTTCTGAACTGCGAATTGCAAATTTGCATCACAGACATATGGTTTAATTAAAATATAGTTTATATATAGAAATGGCTGGTGATATAAACATGTTCGAGATAACGTCTTTATAGGAATAATAAATAGTAGCCCAACTTGCGTGTATTTACTTAATTTCTCCAGTACCGACAGCAGAACCGGTAACGTCCGAGCTTATCGATACAGCGGTCTTTCAAAATTCAGCACCGGGGCCCGTTTAATACCGGGTTTCGGTACCCATCCCTAAACACATGGCTCAGACTATCTAGTAATCTTCACTAATAATTAAAATTTCCATAACAATATCCACTCTGGAAACACTGTCATAACTGTTTTGTTTCTTATTGTCTTTATTTCTTACGCCATTGGAATGTATTTTGTGTAATCTCTCAGTTGAAGCTTAAATGGATACTCCACTGTTTTTTTCATATTAAACTGTTATTCCCTTAACTAAGACGAGTTGATGCATACCTCTCTCGTCTCAGTGTGTGCGCTCAATCGCTCTGGCGCGCGGCAACACTTGATCGCACTTAACTTTGCCCAGTTCAATATGGGCCAAGCAGAGAAGTGACCAAACACCTCCACATTTTCCCTATTTAAATACAGTTACACGAGTAGAGTAACTCGACCAAGAATGTTGACACAAAATAAAACGTTGCACTTTTCTAAGCGTGTAAAGTGGATAATTATATTGTACGTCGGTATACCACAGCAAGTGATTGGAAGCACTTTGAAAAGGTCATATTGCTGCCCCCACCCCCCGTATGCCAGGAGGGAAGTCTGCAGTCTTCACTCGAAGAATCATTGCCTTTCATGAGACTTTTGTCAGTGTTGGCAAGAAGTCACCCTTTAAAAAGAACACTGTGGTATGGCATAAAGGCATTGCGGGGAGAACAGTAGCATCTGCATATGTCATTGCCCTCCATCAGGAGCGGGATGTGTGGCATGTGACATACTGGGTGGACAACTGCTCTGCTCAGAACAAAAACTGGGTCCTGCTCACCTTGTTGGTTAAGCTGGTGAACAACACAACTAGCAACATCCAAGACATCACACAGAAATACTTTGAACCAGGGCTTTCACTTTCACGAGCGCTGACAGCTTTCACCATGGGATGGAGAAATCCATGAGGAAACAACCTGAAGGTCTTGTCTTGAACTTTCAGGACTACAAAAATGTGAATGTGATAAGCAGTAAAAAAGTAAATGTGATAAGCTTCAGTGCAACAACATCCTTGCATGGAGCAATGGTCGCTCATTGACCAAACTTGAGAATGCGCCAAATTTGCCCAGAATGACAGTCATTCAGATGAGGAGTGGCTCCAGGTGCATGACTTCGTGCCTTCTGAGGCTTATTCCTCACAGTACGTCTCCCCAAAACAATGAAAAGCAAAGGAATCTGATTAAGATTGATGCTTTGTTTGATGGTTTACACGATTGCTGTATGAATAGCCTATGCTGCAAATGTCAGGGTTGTCTGTTTTTGTGTTCGATATTGAAAAGTTCTGAGACTATGCAACACTTCTTTAAGTAGTTTAGTATGTACAGTAGGGCTGAAAATCTTATGGTGTGTTATCACTGCAGAAGCAACGGACTAATTAGGACTAATTGGCTCCTAATTTAGAGTAGGGTGTAACCCTGCACAATAGGAACGACCTGTGATGCAAATGTAAGCTGATTGGCAAAACACAAGGCTCTCATTCACTAATTTTTAAAAAGCCATGTAAACACAGTTGATTGCGTATAGGATTTAGCTTGCATACCTTTTGATGTCTGTTGCTTTGTGGCATTAAATTGAATTATTTTTCTTTTTTCATCTTAGGCCTGATGTCATTGAAAGAGGAGAATCAAGATCTGAATGAAATGGAAGAGAAAGATCACAAGACGCATCGTGATTTTAAAACTGAAGAAAAATCTTTTAGTTGCTCAAAGGCTGAAGAAACGTTCTTGCGAAAAAGGGCTCGAAAGTCAAGGAATATAGGAAATTTAACCTGCCATCTGTGTGGACTAACTTTAAAACAACAAGGAAACCTTAGTCCATATGAGAATTCACACAGGAGAGAAGCCTTACACCTGCCCTCAGTGTGGAAAGAGTTTCAATGTACATGGAAACCTTAAAGTCCACATGAGAGTTCACACTGGAGAAAACCCTTTCACCTGCTCTCAGTGTGGAAAGAGTTTCAGACAAAAAGGAAACCTTAAAAAACACATGAGAGTTCACACTGGAGAGAAGCCTTTCACCTGCCAACTGTGTGGAAAAAATTTCAGCCGAAAAGGAATTCTAGACAAGCACTTGAGAATTCACACTGGAGAGAAGCTGTAAGGCCCAGATATAAGTTCTATCTGTTCTTTGTTTAGGGGAAAAAATTAAGTTTGTAGAGCATGAGCAGTAATATGCTGTTAGAGAACATCCGCTGACGCCCACACTGCTGAGAGTGGCATTTAGATTAATATGTTAATAGGTGCTGTGTACTATCCTCTCAAAATAAATAGATGCACAACAAAATTGCAAAAACGGCAAGCATTTTTTATAAAGCATAAGACAAGCATTGGATCATAGCAATTTGAATATGGTATATTAACTGTAAGGTCCTCGGGTTCAGGTCGGGGGGGCCGTTCCTCCCAACGGTGTTCAGTTATTGGACTTCTGTGCTAGTTACAGTTTGTCCATGATGAACACCATGTTCAAGCATAAGGGTGACACCCTAGGTCGTAGGTCGATGATCGACTTTGTGGTCGTTTCATCTGACCTGCGGCCGTATGTCTTGGACACTCGGGTGAAGAGAGGGGCGGAGCTGTCAACTGATCACCACCTGGTGGTGAGTTGGATCTGATGGCAGAGGAGGAGGCTGGACAGGCTCGGCAGACCCAAGCGTACTGTAAGGGTTTGCTGGAAACCTTTGGCCAAATCTCCTGTCAGAAAGATCTTCAACTCAAGAGCTACGACCAGATCCCGAGGGAGGCTGGTGATATTGAGTCTGAGTGGACCATGTTCTCCACCTCCATTGTCGAAGTGGCTGCTCGGAGCTGTGGCCGTAAGGTCTCCGGTGCCTGTCGAGGCGGCAATCCTCGAACCCGGTGGTGGACACCGGAAGTAAAGGATGCCGTCAAGCTGAAAAAGGAGTCCTATCGGGCCTGGTTGGCTCATGGGACTCCGGAGGCAGCTGACGGGTACCGGCAGGCCAAGCGGACTGGTCGTGGAGGCAAAAACTCGGGCCTGGGAGGAGTTCGGTGAGGCCATGGAGAAGGACTATTGGCTGGCCGCGAAGAGATTCTGGCAAACTGTCCGGCGCCTCAGGAGAGGGAAACAGTCCCCTACCAATGCTGTTTACAGTAGGGGTGGGCGGCTGTTGACCTCAACTGGGGATGTCGTCGGTCGGTGGAAGGAATACTTCGAGGACCTCCTCAATCCCGCCGTCACGTCTTCCATTGAGGAAGCAGAGGCTGAGGGCTCAGGGGTGGACTCGTACATCACCCTAGCTGAGGTCACCGGGTGGCAAGGCACCGGGGGTGGATGAGATCCGCCCCGAATACCTCAAGTCTCTGGATGCTGTGGGGCTGTCTTGGTTGACACGCCGCTGCAGCATCACGTGGCGGATGGGGACAGTGCCTCTGGGATGGCAGACCGGGGTGGTGGTTCCTCTTTTTAAGAAGGGGGACTGGAGGGTGTGTTCCTCCTGGACGCCTTCCTGGGGAGGTGTTCCGTGCACGTCCCCCGGGGCCTCGTGTCCTAGGTCTGATACATCAAATTATATTTATCTATTGCACAAAAGCAAAAAAGAACAACTAAAACAAAATAAAAACAATTTACAGGCGCCAAGCACAGCGTTGTGCAGTGTGGCCAATCACAGACATTTGTGTTGATATATTGAAACCAATCCAATCAGATGCATTTAAGATAGATTTTTAAGTTTTTGTTCAGTGCTGAATTCTTTATTTTGGCAAATCCTCTTATTATAACAAAGTGTAAACATTATAAAAAGATTAATTGTGCAGTCAGCTTCGTTGAAAATGATAGCTTTGTGAGACCACTCGTTTGCTTTATGGCATTCATTCAGATCTTGTTTTATTGTTGCTTTATTGAATCTATCCTTTCTTTTGCTCTTGTGAGCTGGTTCGGGTCCATCACACTTAAAAATAGAAATAGGCTACAATATTTAGTGAAAGTGTGTGGCAAAATTTCCAATAACCATTTGTCCGATATAAAAGTCATATACGAGACAAGGACCCTTAAGAAGGCACAATCGATATTGGCCGACCCTAGTCACCCCCTGAACAGTTGTTTCATCTTATTGCCGTCGGGCCGCAGATTCAGTTTACCTAAATGCAAGACAAATAGACATAAAAATTATTTTGTCCCTTCAGCTATAGGCCTTTGTAACAAGTCAATGTAAGTTGTAGATCCGTGTGTAGCATGTAATTGTTTAGGTGTTTTAAACTTTATTTTTATTTATTACTGTTTGTACGGCTGCTGTTTTGTATTTATGTGTATGTGTTATGTCATATGCTGCGGCACAACAAATTACCCCTCGGGGTTAATAAAGACTCCTTGAACCTTCAACCGGGATTAATTTCTGTCTTTTTCACCTCAGATCTGATGCCGTTGAAAGAGGAGAGTCAAGATCTGAATGAAATGGAAGAGACAGATCAGAACAAGACAAATCATGATTTCATAACCGAAGAAAAGTCTTTTAGTTGCTCTCAAACTGAAAAACCTACCTCAAAAGACAGGGAATATAGGTAATTTCACCTGCCATCTGTGTGGACTAAATTTCAGAAAGCAGGGAAACCTTGAAGTCCACATGAGAGTCCACACTAGGAGGAGGCTTTACCCCTGCAAACAGTGTGGAGTAATTTTCAATCAACAAGGAAACCTTAATACCTGCCAACAGTGTGGAAAGAGCTTCAATCAATACGGAAACCTTAGCCTGACTTTGTCATACTCATATTCTTGTCGGAATATGAGTCTGAAACTGCTCCGTAGGGCTTTGATTATGAGGCGTGTCGTAACCGGACCAGGAAAAAAAAAACTCTGCACTCAATTGGATAGTCGGTTAACCTACAACCAATCAGAGCAATGCAGTAAATCAACCACTTTGCATACAGTTGTAAACTACAGAACTTACTTATTTTAGAAGTTAAATATCGAGTGTTGCTTCTTTTACTTACTCCTCCATGAGTGCGACCAAAGGAGAAACCACAACGACCACAGGCTTTTCATTACGTCCCATCTTCTTAACGACCGTTAAAACTGACAAGTTATAGTGCTGCCGAGATATAAACCTAAATTAGCATGCTAAATTACTAGCCCTGGCCCGGCAGGTGTCATAATACCAGTTTCGGCCATTGGAGGCAGTATGCGGGCGAGCAACATAACCACCAGCCAAACTGCAATAGACGAGTAACTCGCGCAGCTTGTGTGTGTACTTGAACCTCATGTCAGTCGTGTGGAAATACAGCCCACTACTACATTTCAGTTCAGGGAAGAGTTCAAAAAATGATTGGTCGACATTATGCATGAGGAATACATTTTGGTAAGTTATAGCATACTGTATCTTTTAACAGAGTTCATGTTCTTTTTCCATTAGCTAGTAGAGACGATCGGTTCACGTGCGCTAGGGATCTGTGGTGTAACATGTACAAGCGCCAAAACGGTATTTGTTTGAATTGCGTAATAAAATTGACAGAATCTGAGCGCTTAACTAACCTGCTTGCTAAGTGTCAATTGCGTGTGTCTCACGGTGAATTTGTGAGAGTTGGCAGCTCTGAATGGCGCTAGGTTGATCAACATCAGCGAATGCTGTCTGTCAAATTAATTCAAACTAACAATAAAAGTGTAATATGAACAAAACGGATACCGTAAACTTAAAATAATAGCCCAGTGCTTTTATTTTCCCATATCGTCGAAATGCACCAGCTTGTTTTTGAGACAGGCGTCTATGAGATGGTCTTCATCATTTAGTGTTGAGATGTTGTTCAATGAGTCTCTGAGCTCTAAAAATCTCAAAATGCTCCACATGAAACTGCGGTCTTCCCACCTTTTACTATCGTGTCAAATGATTTGAATAATATGTGCGAGAAAGAGAGAGCAAAATAGCACTCGTTTGTGTTGTTTGAAGACGTGAGAGTGCGCGCGGCCATGGCACAACTCACTTTCTGGAGGTATACTGCCCCCATTTGTTATGGAATATGATTTGATTTTATGTGCAAGATGGCACCTTTAAGTATTTTTCAGTTATATGTCAACAAGATTAAAAAAAAAACATTTTTCACCTGCTATACCCAATATTTAGATCTGTTTGGGTAATGCAAATTAGCTAATACGTAAATATATTATGCACCGTTTGTCCATGTTAACTAACAATTTAAAAAACTTGTAATACATTTTTCGTTTGTCTTGATGTAAGTAATCAACTCAGTGATTTTCATGATGATATCTAAAGGTTAAAATTTTTACCCTATTCACGTGAGAAACAGAATGAATATGAATGGGATATATTTGGGTCTTTTTCTAAACTTTTCCCTAATGGGATTCTTCGGGGCCTTTTTTTCCTTACTCAGGACATATTGAGGATACATCATCAGTTGAGTTTGCTTCTGTTGCAATTTGTTCAACCTTTTTTCATAAAATGACTGGACTAATATACAAAGACAGTAAATCAAAGTCTTGATTTTGGGTAGTTTATGTGCTACTGTGATGTACTATTTTTGTGGATTATTATAGTATGTTACTCATTTTATACAACTTTTTTAGCAGTGCGGGTGGCATAAGGGTGAGTAAATAATGAGAGGATGTTCATCTGTTGGTGAACCAACCATTCATTCAATGCTGATCTATGGCAGATTGAAGAACCAGAAGAATTGATAATCATGGGACAGTGGATGAAGTGGAGAGAAACTGAAGTGGTGTAAATCTCAGGGAAAGGCTGGAGGCTGAACTGTCTTGATGGGACAATGAACTGTGTCTGTAGATGTGACCCAGATAGCAAACTGATATTGAATAAACGTGGAAACATGACATCGAAACAACGTTGATCTGGCATTGTTTTGCTCATCGAATTAACGTTGAACCAACGTCAGACGCGTCATTCTTCAAAACTAATGGAAAATCAACTTGAAATCAACGTTTCAACGTTAGGAAAGCGAACCATTTGATCGATTTTCATTTAGCTTTGAAGAATGCCACGTCTGGCGTTGGTTCAACGTTAATTCGATGAGCAAAACAATGCCAGATCAACTTTGTTTCTATGTCATGTTTCCACGTTGATTCAATGTCAGTTTGCTGTCTGGGGAGTCTAAATGGAAAAAGAAGTAATTAAAAGTATTTAATTAAGACACAAAATAAATGAAGTGACAGCATTGTGTTATTGCTTTAATCTGGATTTTTTTTAATTGTTAAGCACAAAATAAATGAAATGACAGTGTTGTTGCTTTAATTTTTATATTTTAATTGTCAATGTGAGCTGTATTTTTAACTTATGATTGTTTTATTATATGTATTTCACCAATACAATCAGCTATGAATTTTGCCATCTTTTATAAACATAAAAATAAAAATACATCAATTATAAGGTATTACAAAGAAATATAAATTTCTATGCGCTTTTGTGATTTTAACCAGGCAGCGTGTGAACAGGACTTTTAATTTAGTATCCTGAGTGTGACGTCATAAGGCGGCGTCGCGCTTCAGCATCTGTTGTGAATCGGCTGAAGAAAGGTTTGTGTTTTAAGCGATATAAGCAGTTTAATCTGCTTCAAAGTTTTAAAAGCGACGCATAATATATTAGGCATTATAAGGTATAACATTGCATTATTTAACATTTATTAACGTCATGTGAGCAAAGAAGCAACGAAAGCACGCAAAAGGTGCGTTTCAGTTTGACCCTGGTTCGGACGCTGGCGAGCATGAATGAAATATTTGTTTAAAAGTGATTAAGTGATTTGAAGCGCTACATTTCTATTTATATCTCTATTTATATAAATCATTAAATACTCAAACTGCCTAATATATTAAGTGCCTTTATAAGTTGCATTCTTTTATTATTTTGTAACGTTAGTGCTAATTTTTGTGTGTGTAATCGGGTGATTTAATAAACTTACATTAATTGCGTTTGCTGGACTAACTGAACTAGAGCTGATTGAGATGCACACAGTTTAAGTTTAGATGCCTTTTTTCTTTATATTAATTATCCTCATTTTAAACAGAACAAACAGAAAAATCCTGTAGAAGCAACTGAGATCCACGTGACTCACTATTATAAAGATTGCGTTTATTAAAGAGGAGAGTGAAGACATGAGGATTAAGGAAACATTTTGTGTGAAACAAGACGAAACTGAGGAACCAACAAACATGACGTTTATTAAAGGGGAGACTGCAGACATGAGGATTGAAGAAACATTTAGTGTGAAACAAGAAGAAACTGAGGAACAAATCAAGATGGTGTTTATTAAAGAGGAGTGTGAAGACATGAAGATTGAAGAAACATTTCGTGTGAAACAAGAAGAAACTGAGGAACAAACCAAGATGGTGTTTTTTAAAGAGGAGACTAAAGAAATGAGGATTGAAGAAACATTTAGTGTGAAACAAGAAGAAACTGAGGAACAAACACAGATGGCGTTTATTAAAGAGGAGACTAAAGACATGATGATTGAAGAAACATTTAGTGTGAAACAAGAAGAAACTGAGGAACAAACCAAGATGGTGTTTTTTAAAGAGGAGACTAAAGAAATGATGATTGAAGAAACATTTAGTGTGAAACAAGAAGAAACTGAGGAACAAACAGGTTAGTTTCATTCTCAAAGTTGAACTCAGTCATTTGGTCCCTATTGAAATGTTCAGCTCAACAGAAATAATTGATATTCTTTAGGGAAGTGCCGATCCGATACTGTTTTTTTTTTTCTTTCTGTTTTTTTCCAATACCGTGTCAGTATTGTGCCGTATCGGCCAGACGAGACCGATCCAAATCCGATATTCGCAACGTTCACTGCTTTCAGTTGGAGCAAGATTTATGACTTATCACAGAGCCGTACGTCAGCACACAAAACATTATTGCAATTTTATAATCGCAATAAGTCAAAGCGCAATTTCATATTAATTGCTATTTATCGTGCAGTTCCAGTGCAGATGAATATTTAAAGCTGCAGTCTGAAACTTTTAAAAGTTAAAATTAATCCAAAATGAATTTGAGCATAAAGAGTCTCGGCTAGTAGACTATATTTAGTCATTACGTCACAACTGTACTAAAGAAGAGTCTCGGCTAGGAGACTATATTGAGCCATTATGTCACAACTGTACTAAAGAAGAGTCTCGGCTAGTAGACTATATTGAGTCATTACGATCACGATTAATCGAACAAGTCACCTCGATTTATGATTATTGAACGATTATTTTAATTTTTTTCTTTCTCCTGTCACTGACAAGGCTTGTTCTGTAAATGTGTATGTATTTTTTCTAATGAAAAAGTGCATAATCTTTGAGCTTTTAAAATAAGGAAACACACAGATAGCTTTTAATGCTTATTAAATATTTAAAAATATTTAAAAAATTTAGAAAATAGTTATTTTTGTTAATAAAATAAATTATTGTAAATATTCCCATCTAAAAAGTAAAATATAACTTGTATAAAACTAAAACTAATCCTTTTCATATAGTATAGCATTTGTAAATGCTTGTGTTATCGAAAGCTGCTGTGTGGAGTAGAAGCACTTGTTGCTGGGCGTTTGTCTGTCTCTCTCTTTTTTGCATGTTTCTTTGGTACAAGCAGCTCTTGTCCTTCTATTCCTAGAATCAGAGAGTGCATTCACACACAACCAGCAAAGACACGTGACATGTCTCAGCAGCGTCTATAGTTTGCTTATGAGTTGTGATTTCTTTTTCAAAAAACCACGCTTGTGCATTTGTTTTTCTCTGATTTGATGATAAACTGCCGCATTACGTACCATTTCACGCTGGTGAACGATCCCAGCTTAAACGGCATCATTAGGCTGCAACGCAACTTTGATTACGGCTTTTGTTAACACAGCGCGCGCTCCGTGACTGAACTATGGACTGTGAACACAGCAACTGTTACTCTGTCCCCAACCTGGCGGCACCAATCCCGGGCCGTGTTTGCGTTCAACGGGGCTCATGTTGTTTCAATGTCGCAGACTGGACGGGGTGGAGTGACGTGACTACTATGTTTTAAGGGGAAAGTACGTTAACACACAGTGGGCTGATATATTATTAATAGTATTCAAAACCCGAAATAACCGACATGGTAAAATCACGTCGGTTATAGGCTCTGAATTTCGGTTTCGATTATTTTTTCGGTTAATCGTCCAGCCCTATTATTGAGTCATTACATCACAGCTGTACACATAAAGAAGAGTCTCGGCTAGTAGACTATATTGAGTCGTTATGTCACATCTGTACACATAAAGAAGAGTCTCAGCTAGTAGGCTATATTGCGTCATTACGTCACATCTGTACACATAAAGAAGAGTCTCGACTAGTAGGCTATATTGCGTCATTACGTCACATCTGTACACATAAAGAAGAGTCTCGACTAGTAGGCTATATTGCGTCATTACGTCACATCTGTACACATAAAGAAGAGTCTCGACTAGTAGGCTATATTGCGTCATTACGTCACATCTGTACACATAAAGAAGAGTCTCGACTAGTAGGCTATATTGAGTCATTACGTCACATCTGTACACATAAAGAAGAGTCTCGGCTAGTAGGCTATATTGAGTCATTACGTCACATCTGTACACATAAAGAAGAGTCTCGGCTAGTAGGCTATATTGAGTCATTACGTCACATCTGTACACATAAAGAAGAGTCTCGGCTAGTAGGCTATATTGAGTCATTACGTCACATCTGTACACATAAAGAAGAGTCTCAGCTAGTAGGCTATATTGAGTCATTACGTCACATCTGTACACATAAAGAAGAGTCTCGACTAGTAGGCTATATTGAGTCATTACGTCACATCTGTACACATAAAGAAGAGTCTCGACTAGTAGGCTATATTGCGTCATTACGTCACATCTGTACACATAAAGAAGAGTCTCGACTAGTAGGCTATATTGAGTCATTACGTCACATCTGTACACATAAAGAAGAGTCTCGACTAGTAGGCTATATTGAGTCATTACGTCACATCTGTACACATAAAGAAGAGTCTCGGCTAGTAGGCTATATTGAGTCATTACGTCACATCTGTACACATAAAGAAGAGTCTCGGCTAGTAGGCTATATTGAGTCATTACGTCACATCTGTACACATAAAGAAGAGTCTCGACTAGTAGGCTATATTGAGTCATTACGTCACATCTGTACACATAAAGAAGAGTCTCGGCTAGTAGGCTATATTGCGTCATTACGTCACATCTGTACACATAAAGAAGAGTCTCGACTAGTAGGCTATATTGAGTCATTACGTCACATCTGTACACATAAAGAAGAGTCTCGGCTAGTAGGCTATATTGAGTCATTACGTCACATCTGTACACATAAAGAAGAGTCTCGGCTAGTAGGCTATATTGAGTCATTACGTCACATCTGTACACATAAAGAAGAGTCTCGGCTAGTAGGCTATATTGAGTCATTACGTCACATCTGTACACATAAAGAAGAGTCTCGACTAGTAGGCTATATTGAGTCATTACGTCACATCTGTACACATAAAGAAGAGTCTCGACTAGTAGGCTATATTGCGTCATTACGTCACATCTGTACACATAAAGAAGAGTCTCGGCTAGTAGGCTATATTGCGTCATTACGTCACATCTGTACACATAAAGAAGAGTCTCGACTAGTAGGCTATATTGCGTCATTACGTCACATCTGTACACATAAAGAAGAGTCTCGACTAGTAGGCTATATTGAGTCATTACGTCACATCTGTACACATAAAGAAGAGTCTCGGCTAGTAGACTATATTGAGTCATTACGTCACATCGGTACACATAAAGAAGAGTCTCGGCTAGTAGGCTATATTGAGTCATTACGTCACATCGGTACACAAAAAGACGAGTCTTCGGCTAGTAGACTATATTGAGTCATTATGTCACAACTGTACACATGAAGCAGAGTCTCGGCTAGTAGGCCATATTGTGTGTGTGAGGATGTTGGAGGTGAAGATTTATAGCCTTTTCTCACAGCACATGATATAATTAAACTTATTAATTTGATGGCGGATCCAGAAAGGTTCAAACGACAATCACCTGTTACAACAGATTCACCCGCTGTAAAACGCAAAAGAATTCGGACTTTGGAGTGGCTAGAGAAAAAAAGAGCCTGCAACCGGAACCATGCGAAAACAAGGATAAACATCGGCAGGGCTTTTGAAAGGTGGCGTGAACTTCGTGTTTTGAAGGGGTTCAAAACTGACACAGAGACGGCTTTTTTTCTTTTGGACAGGTAAGACATTTCAATGGTTCAATTATGTAACAGTAGCACAAAAAAGTCCCTGTAAAGGCAAATCTAAATAAAATTCTAAACACTTTATAAATGTTACAAATGTGTTGCTAAAACATATTACAAAGACTCTGAACTATGAAGTATTGAATTGTGGAGTTTCCATTTCTGTTTTCCTGATTTTTTGGGCGGGACTAAAATAGGGACTCAATGACGCACTGGAGCCCCTGAGCTCCTGGACACACCCCTACTTGATGACGCACTGGAGCTCCTGGACACGCCCCTACTTGATGACGCATTGGAGCCCCTGAGCTCCTGGACACGCCCCTACTTGATGACGCATTGGAGCCCCTGAACTCCTGGACACGCCCCTACTTGACGCACTGGAGCCCCTGAGCTCCTGGACACACCCCTACTTGATGACGCACTGGAGCTCCTGGACACACCCCTACTGTCGATGACGCACTGGAGCCCCTGAGCTCCTGGACACACCCCTACTTGATGACGCATTGGAGCCCCTGAGGTCCTGGACACGCCCCTACTTGATGACGCATTGGAGCCCCTGAGCTCCTGGACACGCTCCTACTTGATGACGCACTGGAGGCCCTGATCTCCTAGACACATGCCCCTACTTGATGATGCTTTGGAGCTCCTGAGCTCCTGGACACGCTCCTACTTGATGACTCACTGGAGCCCCTGATCTCCTGGACACGCCCCTACTTGATGACGCATTGGAGCCCCTGAGCTCCTGGACACGCCCCTACTTGATGACGCATTGGAGCCCCTGAGCTCCTGGACACGCCCCTACTTGATGACGCACTGGAGCCCCTGAGCTCCTGGACACACCCCTACTTGATGACGCAATGGAGCTCCTGGACACACCCCTACTGTCGATGACGCACTGGAGCCCCTGAGCTCCTGGACACACCCCTACTTGATGACGCATTGGAGCCCCTGAGCTCCTGGACACGCCCCTACTTGATGACGCATTGGAGCCCCTGAGCTCCTGGACACGCCCCTAATTGATGACGCACTGGAGCCCCTGATCTCCTAGACACATACCCCTACTTGATGACGCATTGGAGCCCCTGAGCTCCTGGACACGCTCCTACTTGATGACTCACTGGAGCCCCTGATCTCCTGGACACGCTCCTACTTGATGACGCATTGGAGCCCCTGAGCTCCTGGACACTCTCCTACTTGATGACTCACTGGAGCCCCTGATCTCCTGGACACGCCCCTACTTGATGACGCATTGGAGCCCCTGAGCTCCTGGACACGCCCCTACTTGATGACGCATTGGAGCCCCTGATCTCCTGGACACGCCCCTACTTGATGACGCATTGGAGCCCCTGATCTCCTGGACACGCCCCTACTTGATGACGCATTGGAGCCCCTGAGCTCCTGGACACGCCCCTACTTGATGACGCATTGGAGCCCCTGATCTCCTGGACACGCCCCTACTTGATGACGCATTGGAGCCCCTGAGCTCCTGGACACGCTCCTACTTGATGACTCACTGGAGCCCCTGATCTCCTGGACACGCCCCTACTTGATGACGCATTGGAGCCCCTGAGCTCCTGGACACGCCCCTACTTGATGACGCACTGGAGCCCCTGAGCTCCTGGACACGCCCCTACTTGATGACGCACTGGAGCCCCTGAGCTCCTGGACACGCCCCTACTTGATGACGCATTGGAGCCCCTGAGCTCCTGGACACGCCCCTACTTGATGACGCACTGGAGCCCCTGAGCTCCTGGACACACCCCTACTTGATGACGCACTGGAGCTCCTGGACACACCCCTACTGTCGATGACGCACTGGAGCCCCTGAGCTCCTGGACACACCCCTACTTGATGACGCATTGGAGCCCCTGAGCTCCTGGACACGCCCCTACTTGATGACGCATTGGAGCCCCTGAGCTCCTGGACACGCCCCTAATTGATGACGCACTGGAGCCCCTGATCTCCTAGACACATGCCCCTACTTGATGACGCATTGGAGCCCCTGAGCTCCTGGACACGCCCCTACTTGATGACGCATTGGAGCCCCTGAGCTCCTGGACACGCCCCTACTTGATGACGCATTGGAGCCCCTGAGCTCCTGGACACGCCCCTACTTGATGACGCACTGGAGCCCCTGAGCTCCTGTACACACCTACTTGATGACGCACTGGAGCTCCTGGACACACCCCTACTGTCGATGACGCACTGGAGCCCCTGAGCTCCTGGACACACCCCTACTTGATGACGCATTGGAGCCCCTGAGCTCCTGGACACGCTCCTACTTGATGACTCACTGGAGCCCCTGATCTCCTGGACACGCTCCTACTTGATGACGCATTGGAGCCCCTGAGCTCCTGGACACACCCCTACTTGATGACTCTCTGGAGCCCCTGATCTCCTGGACACGCCCCTACTTGATGACGCATTGAAGCCCCTGAGCTCCTGGACACGCTCCTACTTGATGACTCTCTGGAGCCCCTGATCTCCTGGACACGCCCCTACTTGATGACGCATTGAAGCCCCTGAGCTCCTGGACACGCCCCTACTTGATGACTCACTGGAGCCTCTGATCTCCTGGACACGCCCCTACTTGATGACGCATTGGAGCCCCTGAGCTCCTTGACACGCCTCTGCTTGATGATGCATTGGAGCCCCTGAGCTCCTGGACACGCTCCTACTTGATGACTCACTGGAGCCCCTGAGCTCCTTGACACGCCCCTACTTGATGATGCATTGGAGCCCCTGAGCTCCTGGACACGCTCCTACTTGATGACTCACTGGAGGCCCTGAGGCTGGCCCCTACCCTAACAATATAGCACATTCGCACTAGTTTGGCACTCAATTGTGAGTTACTGTCAGTATTATTAGTTATTACAGCCTACAGTTTGCTATCTATCTATGCCTTTTTCACAGAAATGCGTACTACCTGGATGCGATCACGTACAAACAGCAGTGTTCTTTATTTAAATTTCCGAAAAATGATAACATCAAGAAGAAGTGGATTAATTTTATGAAGAGCCAATCTTGATGGAGAGCTGAGGATTGCCAACACCTGCCTCTGTAGTGATTATTTTACACAGGATAGTTTTATAAACTTTCGTCTGAGACAATTGGGATTCACTGATAATCAGCTGTTACTGGACTCTTTCCCGCATCGGCCTTCATCCTCTCGTCCTAAAAGCAGTATCGCCTAATATCACCATCGGCAGTTTTCCCGCGAGGGGCGGACACGCCCCCAGTGTTTGAGAGTAGAGAATAATGCTCACTTTTTCAAGATTTTGATAGCTTATAGTTTAAGACTTTATGTACTTGCCGGTTTTTTTTGTCATTCAAATTTGGCTGGGTGGCTAATAATACATTTTTCTGTGGTGTGACAAACTGATCAGAACACATACTTAATTTTGTCTTTACAGGGACTTTAATTCATACAGTTACAGTGTTTACTTTATTGTGCCTTTCTCATTTTTCTATGTGCATTATGGTAAATATCAATTGTTTTGTGCTAGATATGAAAGGCAGCAATTCACCTCTACTCCAAAAGAACCAAACCCGCCGCCTCCGTTGTCAAGTATTGGAACTGAATCAGATCGGTAAAGTGATATTGGTCCTGTCGTAATATTGCGGAGGAGTTATATAAGCCGAACAGTTATATTATTTAAAACACGATTTTGCATAACAGGCATTAAGTTCATACCCTGTTTATTTCATAGCACTATGATTGTTATTTGGTTGTACATGTTAACTTCTTTAACGTGATTAGCTGTTTCCATCACATAACTCAGACTGTGTAATTGACACTCATTTGTTACTCCTTTTACAGAGAAACGGATTTTTCTGTCCCTGGAGTTGGTTTGTTGGGAAAGTAACATGAAGTAAATGCAATGCAAACAAGGTTTGTACATTTATCACTAGTAGTTAAATAGTATACATTTTTTTCTGATTATCCAGAGTGTATATAATGTAAGTGTGTTTGTCTTCAGTGTATTCTGATGTGACGCATTCAGCCTTTTTTCTATTCTTTCCATTGTATAGTCTCCAATTGGAGGTCCTGTCTTTTATTTAATTATATTGTTATTGTAAAAATGTAATGGTTTACCAAATGTAAGGTGTTTTCACACTTGTATTAAAAACTAGACTGAAGGGTACGCTACATGACTATCTCAATAAGCTTAATACCGAACTCTGCGACTTGGCTTTGCTTCGTAGCGCTTGTCTGAAATTGAAATATACAATCATTGGTTATCACATAATTCAATCATCTCTCTCCATCTTAAACATCACCTCCATTCAAAATGTTTAACAAACACTCTACTTGTTCGGGCTTCAATTTGCAAATGCTGGGAATATTCTTCACAACCGAGCGAATTGCATCCCGCATCTCCATATCCGCGGTCGTTTTCGATTTCCCTAACCTAAAATAAAATCTTCAACTCTGCGCTTAGCGTCTCTCAGCCTGCCCTCTGTTCGTTGATTGGCCGGCTGTTTTCAGGCCGGAGGAAAACTGAGAGATAGCGACCTATCTCAGACTGAGTACTGAAGCGAACTGAAATTGAGCGCAAGTACGAAGTCTGACATAGTCAGGCTAGGGCTACCTGTAGTTCAATTTCCAATTCCGTGCAGTCACGTAAAGTTGATAATTCCGCGAATTACTGTGATTGCAGATTTCTAACAGAGAGGACAAAGAGGAAAAACTGCGGACTGCCGCTTTAAGTTGTGGAATTTCTTCTCTCTGATGCTGCTGTCAGCATGATCAGTCACATGAAATTAATCAGAATAAATGTTGTCCTAGTGCGACGGGTGATTTTTAAACATTTATAATTGAGTGTTTTCAGATGGCGACGACAAATCAATGCCAATAATAACTGAGCGCACAACTGATGCTGGCGCACGCAGTAAATTACTTCCGCGAGAGGATAACAGATCTACACACACAAGGAAACAGGAACTCGTGAGGTCATTCAAACTCTGACATCTCCTCTGCATGCAATACAAGCCCTCGCGCTCGATCTGCTCTCACCTGCTGCTTTTCCTCACTCTAACACTTTTATTTTTGCCAGTCGAGGGCCGGGACTTACTGTTTTAATAACCTCAAATGTCATTGGTTACGGAAAAGGTCATTACTTCCCCTTTTCCGGAAGTCAGTTGTGATTGTACGCCTGTCCAATGTAATTCACTTGACTTGAGACATCACTTAATTTGTTTTATTTATTGTGGTTTATTAATGTGTAATGTGATTTAATTCATTGTTAAAATAGATTCTTACCAAATACTTTATTAGCAGGAAGTCTTAATAGTGTTTTCATTGTGTTTTTAAGAGATATTTACAGACTGTAATGCTGCATTTTCATGGTTATTAGCATTGTAAATGTAGCAAAATTCTTAATTCGTAATATAAATGGTTAATTATGTTTTCTATTAAATGTAAAAGGGTTTCTGGCTCAAGTTATAATACAGTACACAGCATGAATTATAGCTTACAAAATGCCTTTTCAGAATTTGCTACAGAATACAGATGAACAAAATGAAACCCAGCAAATTATTAAACCCAGCTTAAAGGGATACTCTACTTTTTTTGGAAATAGGCTAATTTTACATCTCCCCCAGAGTTAAACAGTTGAGTTTTAATAATGATCTTAATCATCTAACTTTTGTAAGCTAATAAACTTAGAAAGTTTGAGGCAAGTAAATGATTTAAACATCTTTAAAAATAATCACCTTTTTCTGAATTTGTTGGGTTTCAGAGGGGTGTAATCATTCATGCTGTGTACTGTATCTTAACTTGAGAAGCCAGAACACCTTTTACATTACACCTCCATAATCACTCCGCAGAAGTAGCAGTGCTTCTGGTGCCTCTGTCCCAACGTACTGTGCAACACGATACATTAACTCATGTTAAATCAGCGGTAGGGGTACGCTCATGTTCTGAGCGCGTACACACAAAGTGCGCGCACTCTAGACTCTTGCAGCGCGTGAGGACTGATCTGAGTTATCTTTCGCATCTTGTTGAGCTTAAACTTTCATACACAAAACAAACACAAACACAGACAGTTCCGTCTAAAGTGAAAGTAGACTGGAATATAAACGGAAGTGTGTCATTATCCGTGTGTGAGCTCTTAAAGTGGCAGAAACCAGAAAATGCACTTTACCGTTAGTCCTTGAATAACAACAAAAGAGAAAATCACTGATCTTCACCAAAAAACTTCAATAGCTTCAATAAGAATCAATGTTTATTCAATTTCGTATTTGAATGGTTCTGTTATATTCACCTACTTTGACTGAAAAAATAAAACACTGTTTATTTCATTTGTATAGTATGTTTTGTATTTGCATTGTGCAGCTTTGTTCTGATTTTTTAAATAACAAAGATAAAATGAAATAAAGATTTATCTTCGCCCACGATAGCCTTCATGGTCTGTCTTTCATTTTTCTGTTATATTATTACCTTGCAAGGCTTAGTTTGTAAATGGGGACATACGTGTGTCTGTACTGCTCAGTCACTTGGCAAATAGTAAAAACAACATGAAAAGAATCGTGATAAAATCATGAATAGTGATTTTCCTGAAAAAAAAAATAGTTATATCGGCCACCCCTAAAAGAGGTATAACAGAAGAAACGCATTGCAATGCCATGTAAAAGTTTAGAAAAAAAAAATACAAAAGTACATGAGCACCTGTGACAATGCGTTGAAGTGGGGAGTCCACTGAAATTAATTTCCCTTCTACGACAACCTGGATGAAATTTGGGGTGCAAGTGCTTGTCTGCCAGATGTTGTCGAAGGTGGAAGTGCACATGCGAAATGCACAGAGAGGATCTGAGTTCTTATGAGGTTGTGGTGTGAACAAGAAAGTGTCATTTCAGTGCAGAAGAGGATCAAAACAGGAACTGGGTCCTCTTTTGAGTCCTTATATAATGTGAACACCAAAAGGACTGAGGTCTATATGTGAAAATGCCCTTAAAATGAACTAATTTGTAGCTCATTGGTATATGTGGTTTCTGCGAGTTCCGCAACGATTTGGCTGTCTGAGGCATTTGCAAATCCTAGAAGATTCCTCCGATCCTAGGCTAAAATCTTTAGTCTTTGATCGTTAGATTGACATCCTCTCCAACAGCCGATTAATATGTCTTAGGTTTTCAAGACAAGCCATGACCAAAATTTAAGGTAGATATTTCTTTGTTGCCACCATTTCAATCCTGCATGTAATGCAGCTCACTGCCACTGAACATGTCATTGATTGATGTAAAACTCTGGACAAGTTTTCTTGCGTCTGTTTTTACTGCGCCTTGACTGACGTACAACATAAGTGTCTTAAAAATTAATGTTAAGTCTAACATTAATGACAACTGAGATCTTACAGTGTGACATAACTTACAGTGATGATCATGATCGTACAGCAGGGCTTGACATCAACCTTTTCATGTGCTTGTCATTCAGACAAATAAATTGTCATTCACTTGTCCAAGTAAAAAAGTTGCTTGTCCAGATTTTCTTTTTTGTGTGTTAAATATAATTATTCTGAAGCAATATTCTCATCAGCGTTCAATTAGCTTTGATATATTTAAATCTGCATATTGTAATATCTGCACCTTTAGAGGGCATCCCCTCCCCCAATCTTAGTAAATATTTCCTTCATCTTCCATTTTAAATTCCTAAATTTTATCAATAAATTCAATTCTTTAGAATAAGACGACACTATAGGGCTGTTACCCTAGGTAGGGGTGATCAAATGAAATAATTTCTGAGTGTAGATTTCTACTCGGAGGTTGCGCGAGCCTCAACAGCGTAAACATGTTACTGTCAGTAATACGTTTATTATCCATCGATCACAAGTTATAATTAATATAATAAAATCAGAATCATTCTCTCATTTTAGTGATTCCCTAGTTTGTTTTTGTTATTGACGTTCTAATCCAACATGACATCATGACTTTGCGTAAACATACAAGCCACTTTTGAGTCAAGTGGCGTGTTATCTCTACGCATTTTGAGATATCCGCGTGTATGTCTACGCCATTAATGTCCGAGTGATTCCGCATGTATGTACACACCATCAAATGTCCGAGCGAAACGATGCAAAATGTAGATCTACATCTGGCGAGCGATCTTTTTTTTTCCCCTAGTATGGTAGGGGAAGAGTCATAAATGCCATTGACGTGTAGACTTAGGGACGGGATTGAGGTAGGTCATATATCAGTAATAACGTTAAGTCAACGGCGTTCATAAACACGCTGAAAAGCGATTATGCGTCTTGATAGCACGCCAAAAATGGAAATACGAATTGGCGTGTCATACACACGCTACTTCATGAGATCAGTCTGTTCTAATCAGGCTATTTGTCCGGTCGAGCAAGTTAAATTCTCTTTTACTTGTACCTTAAAAAAAACAAGCGTTAATGTCAAGCCCTGGTGCAATCTGACAAGCAACAATTGTGAAGGACAATTAAAAATCACAGTGTGCATCTGGCTTTAGTGACGACAAAAACGACTCAGAGTAAATCCTACAGATGCGCCAACACCATTCTCTAAAAATGCATGTAAATGCAGATTTTCCAGCGAACTCCATTCTCGTTTCTGCTATTCCACCAAGTCATCAACCGCATCTGCATTACAACTTAAGATAGGACTGTTAAACAGATTGTAAACTAAGGAAGATGGCCTTTGTGGTGAGTGCTCAGGCTCTGGCATTCTCAGCGCTGTCAATATAAATGTCTGCCACCCTGTAAAAAAAATTAAAGTCCCACACAACAACCAGAGAGACGGGACTTTTGTCAAATGGAGGGTGCAAATGCAACCCTCCAAGAACTAAGTTTGTCTGTCCTGGTGTATTGGATCAAACATACATGTTATTAGTTTGAATGTTTTAAGTGTCTAAATGGTTGTGCTTTGTGGCATTAATCTGGGATTAACTTTTATGTCTTTTCACCTCAGACCTGATGCCGTTGAAAGAGGAGAGTCAAGATCTGAATGAAATGGAAGAGAAAGATCAGGAGAAGACCCATCATGATTTCAGAACTGAAGAAAAGCCTTTGAATTGCTCACAGACTCAAACAACTTCCTCACAAAAAAGGGCTCGAAAGACAGGGAATATAGGTGATTACACCTGCCATCTGTGTGGACTAAATTTCAGAAAGCCGGGAAACCTTGAAGTCCACATGAGAGTTCACACTGGAAGGAAGCTTTACCCCTGCGAAGAGTGCGGAGTAATTTTCAGTCAACAAGGAACCCTTAAAGTCCACATGAGAATTCACACTGGAGAGAAGCCTTTCACCTGCTCTCAGTGTGGAAACAGTTTCAGGCAAAAAGGAAACCTTAAAAACCACATGAGAGTTCACACTGGAGAGACCCCGTACATTTGCAAACAGTGTGGAATGAGTTTCAGGCAAAAAGGACACCTAATTTACCATTTGAGAGTTCACACTGGAGAGAAGCCTTACACCTGCCAACAGTGTGGAACAAGTTTCACTCAGAAAGGAAACCTTACAAAACACATGCACATTCACAACAGAAGCAATCCTTAACATGCCAACGGTGTGGAAAATAAGGTTTAATCAATATGAAAACCTTAAAGGGGTCATTGTTTTTTTGTTTTCTGGGGTGCCCTTATAATCTCAGAATAATTTTTACCTTATTTTTTTTTCAAATAATAAAAAAGAAGCATTTTTTTAACTCTGATTTAAGCCTCCGATTTGAACGCTCTGTTTGAAGGGGCGTGTCTGGTGTGAGACTTCAGTGGAAAGGCCCACTGCTGTGATTGGCTGACATCTTTGCAAATGAAATAGCTAGAATTACATTTTTATATTTTCATACAAATTATTTACGACAGCTATCGAGAAGGAATCGTGAAAAGCATAGTTTGAAGCATTGTATTTAGATCTGTTCATCACATGAAAGGTTGCAGTGATGAACATTGAGCAGATGACAGACAGTCTGTTGATCGCGTGAATTAAAGGTTCTCTAAGCGATGTGGGGCCAAAACATTTTTTGTCACATACATCAAACGTCTCCTCACTATCGGCTAGCTGCCTGTCCCCTAAACACACTGTAAAAAAACGCGGTCTCTGTAGACACCACAGGCTCCACAAACGGCAGTCATGTCTCACCCGGACCAGGAAACCTAACAAACGGTGTTCCAGCCAATCACTGGCAAGAAGTATTTGAGGGTGGGTCTGGGGGTTTAGTGCGCGTGCACATCAAGGGGGTGTGTTTGTGAAGGAGAGAGAAGCATCAGAGGGAAGTTTGAAAAATGGCCGACACACGACCAAATAGACGTCGTTCTGAAGAACAAATTAAAAAGCAGAAGGAGTCGGATAAAGAACGTGCGAAGTTCCGAATTTACATCGGTAGCAAAGCTTTTGAACGATGGCGAGAACTCCGGCGGCAGAAGGGCTTCCAGTCCGACGTCAGGTTGCTCTTTTTTTGCTGGACAGGTGGGTAACCTTTAATTTTAATTTTTTTTCTTCTAAATTGACGCTTTATGTTCGCCAAACCCACACAATGATATAATTAGCTAGAACTATGCACGTTCACAATTATTTCAGGAAGCACGGAAGGGAGGGGGAGGAGATGAGATGCGGCGGAGGGAGGGTCTAGCTAGCCTCCGATTTGTTTGAAAATATTCCGAACGTCAACAACACCCAGGATCGCTCAGAGAACCTTTAAGAGATTCATCATTTCAACACATGAATGCTTTCACCAATGCATTGCAAACACTATGTAAATACAGTAAGAGCTTTGGTGTGCCGTGTAACGTCATTATTTCTATTTCATAACGAGTTTCGGCAAGTGTCCAGATAAACTTGACAGCTTTGGGCAATTGGAAAAGGAGGCTGCTTTTATTGCTTTCTGTATATAATTTAATCACAGTTTAAATAAGATTATTTTCCTACTTAGAGAAACGTTACTCCTTTATAGTTACTGGCTTGATTTACTGATGCATAAAAAGTGTTGAACGATTTTGAGAAAAATAAAATCTGTCTGAATAACTTGAATAATTACACATCACAGATCAGACATTGGAATAAAAATGGTTACTTGCGTGTTTGTGGGATTGCTGGTAGATCCATATCGTAAAAGTCTGTTTGCAACGAAATTGCGACTTAACTTCATTCACCAAATAATGCTCTGTGAATAGTTAGAATAGTGAATAGTTTAGACTTTAGATAAGAGCTTTGTATAATGCATTTGTAGAAAGCTGTGTATGATGATGTTTTCATGCGTTTACACATCATGTATAACAGGTAGTTTGTTCTGCAATGTAAGTGCTGACTAGTGAAGTGTCTTCTCTGAAAAACATTATTATTAATATTAAATAAACTGCAATAAACATGACTCCCTTTTTGTTACATTGATTGAAACTGACAGAACATTTTATATACACTACCTGTCAAAAGTTTTAGATCAGTAAGATGTTTTATGTTTTAAAAAAAAAATGACAAACAGTAAAATTGTGAAATAGTATGACAATTTAAAATGTTAAAAAGTTTTCTATTTTAATATATTTTAAAATGTAATTTGAAAGCTGATTTTTCATGTGGGTTCAAAGGTTCACCATCATCATCAGAAACAGCATCTTCCTCACCATCGGCTCCAACGGTACCAACTTCCTCCTCAGGAAGCTGGGCATTTTCCCTGACTGCAATGTTGTGGAGAATTGCAGTAATCAAAATAAAGATGAAAAACCACACTCTCTCTATAGTTGCAGCTCATATTTATCCATGTCCACACAGACGCGTTTCGGCCTAAGCCATCATCAGTGAGTGTGTGAGAATTGCAGTAATCACAACAATAGAACAGCTTTTGCTGATGCAGCGAAAATGTTGTTTCCATAGTCCTATAGCCCTCTCCACTATAGAGTGAGTCCTTCCATGGGCCTGATTAAACCTTTCCTCTGCAATGGTGGCTGGATGCTGCACAGGTGTCAAGCGGTAGGGGCGAAGAGGGTATCCACTGTCTCCCAGGAGCCAGCTATCACCAAAGCCATCTTCTTCAGCCATCTGGTAAATTGCAGAATTGGCCCATACAAAAGAGTCATGTGTGCTTCCAAGCCATTTTGCCACAATGTCAGTAAACATTGCCAGGAGATCACACACTACCTGAACATTAATGGCTGGATAGCCCTTCCTGCAAATGTACAAGGGGTCATTTATCTTAGGGATTAATTCTGGGATTAAGGTGCCACCACAATGATGCCAATCACTCTGGGGATGTTGTCAAATTCATAGAATTGTTGATTGGCCAGCTGTATTTCCTCAGGAGTTTTGGGGGAAACAAGGATGCTCTTCAACAGCTGTAACAGCAAAGGTGTTACTGCTATCCCAGTTTTGCTGACTAAAGACTTGCTGAGCCCTAGGTCATCACCCACCACCTCCATAAAACTACCAAGAGCATAACAACGCAGTGTAGCCAACAACTGCACATCTGGACTTAAAGGGTTAGTTCACCCAAAAATGAAAATTCTGTCAGTATTTACTCACCCTCATGTTGTTCCAACCCCGTAAGACCTTCGTTCATCTTCGGAACACAAATTAAGATATTTAGGATATTAAGATCGCTCCTGCATACAGTCCATAGGCTTCTTGAGGGACTGGCTCTTGCTGTCCTCGAAAAGTCATTAAAGACACCGTTAAAATAGTCCAAGTGACTACAGGGGCTCAATCTTAAGTTTATCAAACGACGAGAACACTTTTGTGCGCAAAAAAAACAACAAAAATAACTACTTTATTTCAACTATTCGTTTATTTCTCCCTCTGCGCGAGTCAGGTTACTAGTTTAATAGCGTAAGCTTCTGTTATTGTACGTCACACGCATCACACACACACATGACCAGCGTCGGACAATAGTGAGCCTACGTGTGACGTAGCTCTACGCAATCACACTACGTTAACTGACTTACAGGCTCATGGAGAAGGAAGTGAATAGTTGAAATAAAGTCGTTATTTTTGTTGTTTTTTTGCGCACAGAAGTGTTCTCGTCGTTTGATAAACTTAAAATTGAGCCCCTGTAGTCACTTGGACTATTTTAACGATGTCTTTAATGACTTTTCGGGGACAGCAAGAGCCAGTCCAGAGCCAGAGCCTTGGAGTTGACAAGGATATTATGCTACTGTTTTATAAGGCAGCTATTGAGTCTATTGTTCGATATGGTATGGTAGTTTGGTTTGGTAACCTGTCAGTTAAATTAAAATCATCACTCCAAACATTGATTAAAAGGGCAGGGAAAATAATCGGGCAAGTGCAATCGACTACTCTTTGTAATGTTCTCGTGCAGGGTTTTGAAACTCTGACTAAACACCAAGTTAAACCGTTGCAAATGAAGACAGCGTCGTAGTAAGGTTGATCATTTACTTTCACACTTCCTCATTTACATGTAGGTGAAAACTGTAATAAAAAACAATACAGCAATATTCAGTGTCCATTTCTTAAGTAACATCCCATTGTGAATAAAATGAATATACAATGCAATTCTCATTGTAACAGCAGCAGCTACACATGCCAAAAAGGGAATCCAGTGAGTCGCTGCGTGGATCTAAGTATTGAACTATGAGGTTCAGGATTAAAGTGTAAATTTGAGGATTCAACACATGCCAATGATTCCCTCTTCTTATATTTTCTCTTTGTAAATAAATTATTTTTTTTATTTTGGGATGCAATGATCTTAATTACTGTCCTGTTTTTCTAATTGGTTGTTTGTGTATTTTATTTAAATGTACGTATTCCTTTTTCTTTAATAACAAAATATCTACTAATACATGACCTTTAATATCTAAAATCACATAAACAAACTTACAGCATTGCCTCTATGATGCTTTAAGGTGGATGCAAGTGGATTCAACACCAAGAGCACACCATGTCTGTCTCCTTGTTTCCATGCAGTACCAGGAAGGACAAACAGGAAGTGACTTAATAGGAAATGGCATCATCACATGACTCTAAATTCCTTAAAGGACAACACACTCCCCGCCTGACCTATGTGAGGTCACTATGGATTTACAGTATGAGAGTGCCTAACCTTAGTCTTTAGATCAGTCTTTGGTTAGAAGTAGAACAACTTCTGCAATTGGCCTTAGAAAGGTTTTCATATTATTTTGATCACTTGTCACTACCTCAACCTTTCTGACATGTCCATCCTTTCCAGGGAATATGGCAGTGATTCTAGCCATGGGCCAGCAGTTGCGGGCTACCTGCTTATCCCTGAGCAGAACTATATCTCCAACTTGAAGGTTTCTACGAGGTACCGTCCACTTCTGTCTCTGTTGCAAGCAAGGTAAGTATTCACGGCTCCAGCGGATCCAGAACTGGTTTGAAAGAGCCTGAACTTGTCTCCATTGTTTTGTGTACAGGTCCTTGTCCGAGAAGTCTCCAGGAGGAGGTGGAACTCCTGTCTTCTGCGTAAGGAGCATTGATGGTGAGAGTATGAAAGGTTGTTCCGGGTCTACAGACACAGGTAAGAGTGGTCGTGCATTAATAATAGCAGTAACTTCTGCCATTAGTGTGCAAAGAACTTCGTGGGTTAAGCGAGTGTTCAGCTGCAGAAACATCGAATCTAGGATTCTCCTGGCAATACCAATCATACGTTCCCACGAGCCTCCCATGTGAGAACTGTGTGGTGGATTGAATTCCCAGCTGCATCCTTGCTCACTGAGGTACCTCTGCACCTTTTTGTCCATTCTAAGCTCCTTGCATGCCCCAATGAAATTACTACCGCAGTCGGAACGAAGCTGTTTCGCAGGGCCTCTGAGTGCGAAGAATCGCCTGAGAGCATTTATGCAGCTTGACGTGTCCATAGACTCAATAACCTCAACATGCACAGCTCTCAAACTCATACAGCAGAACATGATCGCCCATCGCTTGCTCTCCGCCTGTCCTCCTCTGGTTCGTCTGGTTGTTACGCACCAGGGTCCAAATACATCAAGTCCCACATATGTAAAGGGAGGGCAGGTCTTGAGGCGTTCAGATGGTAAGTCCGCCATGCGTTGTTCTTCTAGCTTTCCACGTAGCTTGCGACAGATTATGCATTTGT